TACACACACACACACACACACACACACACACACACACACACAAGGAAGGGGGGGGTTGAGGGTTGAGGGAGAACATTCTAATATTATGTTTGTAAATTGGAAATGAAAGAAATAACTCCCTCCAATTAATGTTAAAATTAAAATGTATTGCCTAAGGTAATAAAAAAAGAAAAGGAAGGAGGGGAAATATGGGATAACAATTTAAATCTTAGAGACTAGATGGGTTTTATAACCACATGCAAATGATTACTATTAGCTCATGAATTCTAATCTTAAATGAAAATGGTAATTATTTTGTATGGAAATACAATTGCAATACCATCTGATAATAAAGACCATTTAAGCCTCTTAATCGTTTTCGGAAATAAATAAACTAGAATAATGCAAAAACAAATTATATCACCATACGACAACAAATAAACAAAGATTTTCCTCTCATTCAGATTCTGCAAAGCTATCCGCTAAACACTGGTGGGCATGGTTAGAGAGAGGTGAGAAGGTTGATCTTATCTACAGTATAATTTGAATGGAAATGTATTTGCTCCAGCGCTTTCAGTTAGTTGTTCTTGTTCTTTGCAGCCACCATCTTTTGAGATGACTCTTTGTATGCATTCAGTTCACCTGGAGACTAACAAGGAGGCCTGAGTGAGCAGGGTGGGAGGCAAACAAAGAGGGAGAGAAGAAGGGAGTCTGAAGGAGGAAATGTGAATACCCTTGCTAGGGGACCGAGGGAGTGCTGAACAAGCCCTGCTTTTCACAGGTTCCATTAAAAATCTAAACTTGTCTGTACAACATCTGTGTGTGTCTACAAAAGTGTTGTGGTCGGCTCTGAAGGCTGGCAGGGAGAGAAGAAAAGAATAATAAATATGTTCTCCTGGCTTCTCATCTGAGGAATCGCTAATTGTATGTAAAGTACAAGGGGGATTTCAGAGTGCCAAAAATGCAGATGGTGCTACGGTCAGTGCGCTGCAGATCCTGGTGTCATGCTGCAAACTTGGATTTGCTCTTGAATTTCTCACATTGTAGCATGACAGCACTGCTGTCAGCCAGAATAGATACACCTGAACCAGTGCTGATGCTCACACACAGACACAAGCTCACACACACACACACACACACACACACACACACACACACACACACACACACACACACACACACACAACCTCTCTCTGACACCAACACACAGAAAGCCATCAGTAACCAGAGCCAGTGGCTGCTCTGCTCCAGCCTTAATGGAAGGCCTGACCTCCGCCATGCTGAGTTATTTCCACCCTCCCCAAATTTTCAGGCAACCAGAGGGAAAAAGGGTATGAGAAAAATGGAGAGACTGGGAGCATAGGATTCTACTTTTTCCCTCTGAAAACCTTTAATTCATTTCATCTTGCTTCCCAATTTACAGGGTCCCAGGACCACTTACTCTGTAATGAGGAGGTGGGTTGAAGAAGGGAGTGAAGCCTGGAGAGAAAACAGCCTTCAGCACTCTTTACAGCTTTCAGGAGAAAACGTCAAAATGCAGTCTTTTTAAATCATTACCATCCCTGTCCTTCATATGACTACAGCCCATACTGCTACTGCACTGCAGCACATTTCTACTGTCTACATTGCAATTGTTGCAACGAAAGATAGTTGCTGCCGTGGTTACTTTCCAAGGTTGTACCATCCTGTCTTTGAGTATTACCGACCATTCGGCTGTGTTTTGCTGCCTGATTAGCCTTTAATCACATTAAACTCTTTCTTAAACTGGACTTCCTGGATTGTCTTGTGTTGTCTCACAGGTAGGGTTGGCTACTGAGCTCAGTACTTTTAACAGTACCGACTATATAGAGTTGGTGCGACTCAGAGTGCATCTGGGTGG